CAAAAAAATAAAGGATACAAAAAATATAAAATAAAATGAAGAGTACATTGAAGCCAGGAAATGTATAAAAAGGAAGAAAAGTTAACATCATAGATCGTTATTTCCTGAGCATAAAATATAAAACTCCGTCACGCATATAAAGTTTGGGAGGAAAAAATGACTTCAAATGACAATATTACAGAAGTAGTTGATATTTCTTTTGTTAGGGTCTGTTCTTAGACATAAATAACTATAAAAATTACGAGGTATGTTCTTTCTTCCTGTGAGTTATTGTAAATATGAGTTAGGGAATTTTTATTGACGACCTTCGTAAAAAATATTTTACTTACTTTACATCATTCCGTTTTACTTCACTAGGGTATTGCCAACTTTACGCTTCACTGCTCCACAGGAAGTTGGAATCATTTTCATAGATATAGACACCCAATGAAAATACTAGTAAATTATTTCGTTGTCCAAACGTATTCTAAATATGAAGTTGTTGATGTTGTCTTTTGGATTGAGTAGAAATTGGTTTGTAGACATGCAAAAATTATTTCATTTGAATATTTCCCTTTACTTCCATTACATTTAATTTTGAACAAAATTTAGTTTTTTTACACCAAAAAAGTCAGTTATGTGTCTGGAAAGTATTTGCGGTAGTTATAGTGATGACTTAGTAATAGGAATTTTAAAGAACAATTTTTTTAGTAATAAACTAGTTTTGGCGAAGATCTAATAATGCTTGAATTTTAAAATATTATAGGAAACTATTCTTATAGACTCATTCGTTATCTTGTTGGAAGCCATTTGACAGTTTATGGGTCATATGTGATGTTATGTTCTTATGATAACCCTGATTTGTTCGCCACTTCGGAGCCTGCGATTTTTGCGTATTATCTACGATCATAAGAAAAAATGACTCATACAAAGGAGAAATCATATTACATTATGCAACAATGGTATGCATACAAGTTTAATCATTTTCTTAAAACCGGTACAAAATCGGGTTCATGATGTGAAAATTCGTTTTTTCTGAACAAGGATCGGGTAAAAATGAAAGATGACAATGAAAACGTACAAATTTTGATTTTTCGTCTTTGGGGACCCGATCGAAAATGTTATGAGCAACATTTTAGTCCAGTATTTGCTGGTCAAAAAATCTCGTCCTATGACGTATTTGTTCTTCTGAATTCTTGATTGACTTGCCAAGGACTTTCATCCCCATAAGATATTTTCCCGCACCATGCCATGATTCCGATTTTGTGTCAATAAATTAGTAAGTAATTTGAACCGTCTAAACTTGTTATACCCCCCTAAAATACCGAAGATTTTCTATGAGATCCCAAAATACAAAATTAGAATACCCAAAACACTGATGCACTAAAACTTGGGTTAATATTGATACAATTTGGTAGGTGGAAGCTCCAAAGTGATTTCTCAAGACGGACATGGATAAATGTACATAGAATTTTATTATGATCAAGAATAATTTATTGTGCTTCGTCGATTATTTTGAGGTTTGAGGCAAATGGAATTAAAAATTTAACCACATTTGCCTTTCTAGAGGTCTTTTCACGGGCGCTCCTTCTGAACAATCTATTCCTTCTTACTAGTGGATGATCCCATTTTTTTTTTGCAATCGCATTTGACAAATTGTATCATATTCACCCTCCTAGAGATCCTTATGCGGAACCATGTCAATCAATTGTGAGTCATCGCAAACATTGGTCGGAATATTTTCTTGACTAAGATGGAAAGACACACAATTTATCCTTCTGTTTCTATACGTTTACGTTGATGTCCTCAATTGCGATGGGTTTAAAAATATAAAGGTCCGTATAGAGTCCCGACTATAAACCAAAAAAAAAAAAAATCAATGGGCCCAAGTGTTATGGATGCCACGTTAGTTGAGAAATGATCTAAGACTACCATCCAAAAGCCCGTGACTGCCCTTTTGAGCTGCAACTTTCAGTTTTATTGGTATTTCCGTATGTTATCGTGCGAGTGGCATTCAGTTCCAGTGCATGCAAAATTGTATAATTATAAATTTTCAAATATTAGGTAGGGAAAAAAGAAATCCATTATTTTCTATGAACTATAGGACTTTATTTAACATGCTTCGGAATATCCGATTTGGGCCAAATATGCACTTGTTTGTATGCCATGTGCTGCCATTTTAAAGCTAACTTCAAAATTCCTCTCTCATAGAAGTCCTGCTCTCTGTTTGCAAAAATCTTTTGACAATCCTCCCTATTACAGAAATTTTGCAATGCAAGAAAAATATCAAAATCGCTAGGCACCAAGTTCTCACTGTATGGCGGATGCATAAAAACATCCCAACCAAGCACCCGAAGTTTCTGTCGAGTCACTGTAGATGTGTTTGACCTTGCGTTGTCCTGGTGTAACACGACACCTCTCCTGTTGGCCAATTCTGATCAATTGTAAATGGTCTAAAATAGTTTTTTGGTCGGTCAACTTCGACCATTTCTCCGAATTTATCGAAATTTTCGACGAACGGCCTGTGCGAGGTGCATCTTTAACATCAACAAACAAAACAGCAAAATAATTTTTTGCTACAAAAGGTCAACCTTCCAATGAGCATAAATCTGAAAATGTTCTACGAGAAATCTATCAGTACAGCCGTTTGCCGAATAAATAGTGGATTTATTTTTCCCCAAACTAATATTCATGGTTCGGCCAGAAAAACATATAGGAACCGTGGTAGAACTTTGAAGAGGTTCACATTGGTTTCTAACGTTTTACGTTTTGGTATCGTTCCCATATACTGATACCTAGCCATTATCGGTATATTTGAGATTTTATCCACATTTTCAAGTCCTGTTTTTGAAAGTGTCATATGGGTCCATGTTCTCACATTTTCCCATAAAAAGATCCCGTTCCAGTTTAGTTGTTTTTATGGTCATAGTCACATTTGCAGCCACAGAAAGGTGATGCAGTCACAGATATGGATGCAATATATAATTTCTGCCGATTTGGTTTAGGAGAACCCCCCATCAAATGGCAAATTAGGATACATTATGTTAAATATTTCCAACTTTTCATAATATAATTTTTAGACTTAAGAAGAAAAAATTAAGTTGACAACATGTTGTTTTTGTAATTAAATAAAAGTCCTTCTTTTCGATGGCGGGCTTGATTTCCGATCAATTAGAAAGAGTACATATCTGCCTCTGGAATGAAGTAGTATTATTGACTTCCCTCGAATAACAGCAAAATGGCAGATATAGGAAGAATATTTGCATGGAAAAACGCTTATTTTGAACGAAAACCCAAGCTCGATGAACGCGAAGATCTTAGTTCATACAATAGTTAATAAATCAGCTATATCTTCAAGAGTTGTTGAGATTTTCACTTGAAATTTTAATGATTCATTCTAGAGAAGTTGTGGGTTTAAACATAATAAAATTGATTTTTTTTAACTGGGAATGGGGAGGGGTCCCCTAAAAAATTGATTGATTACTTGATGTCGACCCTGACGTAGCCTCTCACCATGGCAAAAATTTTACAGCTGAGCCTGAAAATGTTTTTGAACCTCGTAGGTTTCAACAATAATTCTTTCACTTCAGAAAACAATCGGTATCCTGACCACAAATCGCCACAACATATTGTTACTTTTCGCACTTTTGTGCCAACCTTACTGGTTCTGAATTAGTAAAACGCTGTTTAGTTTCAAATCAGTGATTTGTTTTTTTTTTTAATCTATTAAAAATCTGACTACAATGATTTTAATTCATTTACTTTTTTTTGTTAATTTATATTGTTGTGATTTGTCGAACTTCTTGGTATTACTAATGGAAGTGTGGTAGCTCCGCTTTGCATCACATCTTTAATTCTCTTAATACTAATTGCCAATTGTCACACAAATCATGGATGCTCCACCGAAAATTCAGTTCATTTCAGATAAGGTACAAATCACACACACCCACGTACAAATCTCTTCATCCTCTCTCCGTTTCTGGTAATTTGCATGCAATTTTCTGACCAATTTGTGAAAATCTGAACTCTACACATACACACACATACATATTTTTTGTGTTAAATGCCCACCATTGTCCTTGCAATAACAATATTGGTCATTTTTAAATCCCAACGCTGATTTTGCACAAAATGTAAATTTCAATATCAAAAAAATACAAATCGTACAAATTCATTCACTTGTTCATGAGGTTTGTGTGTGTGTAGTTTTTAGCAATCTGGGGCCAGGGACGTGCCGGACCTATTTGGAAGTCAACAAGTAAATCCTCAATGGGTCGATTAAAACTATTTGTTGGTGATTTTATTTTTTTAAAGTTTTTTGTTGTATAAAAAAATGTTAACTACGCCTCTGTGTCGTAGAGAAAATCGACATCATACAACCATTGAGTACAATACCTCATTTTGTAGCAATCGAAATGCAATTTAATTTTCTACCGTATTGTAGAATTTTTGCTTTGCATTTATATCTGTATTTTAAACAGAAAAAAACACAAAATTGTATATTCCCAAATGACAACAGCCCCTATTGTCGATGTCATCATTGTCGACATAAAATTGTTTGTAATTCAGATTCAATTGTTTCAAACAACAGGAGGTTTTTTGTTGAATATATATATTTTTGCTGATTGTGAGAACTGGCCTACTGTATGTATGGTATATAGTGTAACATCAGCATATAGTTAATGGCAGGAGCGGAAGAGACATCCTATCATGTAAAGAATTGAAAATTGAAATTCGTTACATGTATGTTTTCGGTGCGGATAGATTTTTTTCTTTTATGTTCTGGGCTGGCAAGACATAATATTCCACAAAAATAATTTATGACAACATGTATGTGTGTTACACTCAAACATTCTGGTATTAGTTGTATTCTACTCTACAATTTGTCTACATTACACCCTATTATTATGTTTAAAATATTTCAAACCAAATTCTGAATATTTTTCTCATGTCATCAAATGTTTTGTTTTACAAATGATAATCTTTGTTCCTTGCTTTTTTTTGTTTTTGTATCTTTACAGTAAAAATGCAACAAATTTGGAAAAATTTCAATTGAGAATAACCAAACATGAATTGTATTCAGAAAATGATACATTGGTCGATGCTCTACTAAAGGATATGATCAAATTGCCCATAAAGCATGTTGGTAAGTTGTTGAATATACTATTACATATCGTACTCGTACATGTATGATGTTCATGTACATTGTGTTGATAATTTGATATATATTGGCACATGTACATATTTTATTTTTTGTCTTTGTTTGCTTGTCACAGATGATGTGTCTTAAATATTGGTAAAATTCAATTAAACGCCTATATAATGAAATACAATCACAAACACACACACATATTTATATATACATACTGAGAAAACAGGAATTAAAAATATAAAGAGATACACACAAATAAATTGTAATCCGATTATATTTTCATTGGAAATGTGACATCGGAGCATTAGACGTCACACGCTGTGTAAATATTGTTGAAAATTAATAGAATTTCTTTAGAAAACCAAAAATATAAAATTTTAACAGACTAAGGAAAAGCCTGTCTTAAGGACTGATTCCATCCAAATTGTGCACATGGCAGTATTTGTATTAACTTTAAATCAACACCTCGAACATTAAAAATTCATGTGAAGCGGATGGAATATCCAATTAAATCCACTGATTAAACCCATTGATCGTAATATATTATATACAACGAATAATAAGTCTTGTATTGTCTAAACATGGCAGACCTTTATATTTATACTAACCATAGATTTACAGCAATTATCGGCCCAGCCCTGCGATGATGGGCCTATCACTGGTACAATATCCACAAGTTATCCACCGATAATTTGGCATTACGAGTTCTAGAAGGCTGACATACATCTATGCAGAAACTAATCAATATAGGCCAATGTGTTTACATCGCCCGCCCATTTTTTAATATTTTGAGAGTTTTAGCCGAAATTCCCCACCGAAGTAGTATATCAGGTTCTCGTAGGGTGAAAAACATATTTGGAGAAGATTTTTGATGTAGGTCCATGTTTCGACATAGACCACACCCATAAACAACATCTTCTTCAGAAAATATTAGGTTGAGGAAAAAGAAATCCTCCCTAAGGGAATCAAATCATCCTCACAGCCTCAAGAGGATGAGAGTAACAAGGGAGCAGTAACTTGCGGAAAAGAAATCTTCGTTGCTGTGGACAGTTAAACCTTCGGCCTGGTATTCAATAACGGCAAAGAAGAGGAAGACGAAAGTCAAACCAAATGGCAAGGATTCAAAGAAGCAGAAGCATTGACCGTCGATTAGTCGACAGATGGTTCCGGATGATCAGAGAGCGCTAATGATAAAGGTGACCTCGATGGGCGGAACAACAATAGTCATTGACTGCTGCTCGACCGCATCTCAACATCTCAAGACGAAAGTCAAACCAAGTGGCAAGGCTTCAAAGAAACCTTCCAAGCAGAAACATTGACCGCCGATCAGTCGACAAATGGTTTCGGATGATCAGAGAGCGATAATGGTAAAGGTGACCTCGATGGGCGGACTTCCTAAATAATATTGAACCCATTTGAGACTGTTGAATACTAAAGGCTGTAGGCGAAGCGGGAAAGGAATAGCTGAAGAACGCTTTGATGCTTGCTTTAGGCAGATTCAAAAATTTCAAAAAAGAAAAAAAAATCATTAAAAAGCCAGTGAGCGGAGCAGTATAGTCTAACGGGGCCGACCATTTGATACTCTACACAACTTCCACGAAAAACTAACTTTCTGTGGATTTATATTCTGAGCTTGGGCAATATTTCGCGATATTTGAACCATCTGGAACAACTAGAGGCCGACAATTATTACTAATTTTCAGTACAGCCCTTCTAATTACTTGTCCAGATTCCCATCCCTTGTTTTGTGATCTTCTTATTCCTATTGGAGCCAATAGATCGACTCGAAAAAACACAAAAAATTAAGTTTTCGGTCCACTTCATCACAATATAATTACCTGATCGTCACCGAAAATTATAGGCGTTATCCTTGACCATAACTGGAACTTCATGGAACATGAAGAACAGCGCTATATTTCCGACCTCTAGTGTGGTAAAGGCTTACTAAATAATATCTGAATACATAAGCACCTGTAAATGTTTAAGTGTAACACCCACATCTAAGTACATGCGACCATATAATTGGTATCAAGTTAAAGGCCAGCCACTGCCCTTGGATATACCAACAACTTTTCGAGTCTATGTCCTTCAGGTGTGAATCTATACGCTATAGAATACAAATTTTGTAATTTTTCACACAAAAGTCAGGGTCCATTTGACCCGCTAAATATTAACCGATCCTTATCAAAACAGGCATGCTTATTCTTTGGCCCGATCCCCTTCTCTATGTAAAAATTCGCGATGTTTGGGTCGGTATACTTAAAGGTGGGTCTAGGACCAATATTTCGCGGCGTTATAAACTCTTGGTGCTGCACAAAGCTATAATACCCTGACAACATAGTTGTGTAGGGTATAAACAGCAAAATAGTTGTTTTACTGCGAAATGTCACCCTTCTAACGAGCATAAATCTTAAATTGTTTGATAGATACTTTACGAGGAATCAATCAGTACAGCCAACTGCCGAAAAAATATTGGATTTCTTTTTCCCCAACATAATATTTTCTTTTCTCTGCTAAGGATACAATCAGAATAATTGTTTTTTGGTGGTCAACCCTCTAACAAATATGTCGAGACCTGTATATCTTTTATTCCGCATTAAATTATTTTTTCTAAATTGGCGACTTTATTAACTATTTCAAATTTACCACCCAAAGTTTTTTTTCAGTTTTGTGTAAATATATTTTTTCTTTCTATGGGGAATTTAAAGATACTAATTCCCCAGAGATAAATTATTAAATTAGAATTAATTCTCTTGAATTTTGTCCACTTTTATATTTATTTATTTTTTATTTTATGTCCCCAATTGTTTTCAAATGAAGCCAAACTCTCTAATCTGAATGCAATTAATGGAATTTAAATTTTGGCAAAATTCTAGTTTTTAATTAAATCAAATGTAATTTATTTTACAAATAGGATTTTTCCACATTTTTTGTTTGTTTGTTTGTTTTTGTTACTGTGTTTTTATTTTTGTTTAATGTTTAATATATTTAATACTAAGCTTTTTATATATGTAGATCTAAAACTATTTTAAATATTTATATAAATCAAATGAAACTATTTCCGGTCATTGCAATTTACAAAAGAAAAAAGTGTACATTTGCATATATATACATTATCTAAAAATGTGTAGGCCAATGTATATATGTGTGTCCGTGTGTGTGTGTGTTAAAGGTCAGATACAGTTTACAGATTTATACTATAATTTAAAACTAAAACCTAAATGTTTAGAGTAATAAATAACATGCATATTTTATTACATTATTATTTTACGTATGTGTGCGTGCATGACCGTTTATTTTGCGATAATGGCAAATAAAACACGTCAAATGACTGTAAATAATTTAATTATTAACATATTAATTAAAAAAGGAAACAAATTTTATAAAAATTATTAATTTTAGCTTAAAAACAGATAATGGCGTATATTTTATTTATTTGTTTGAATTGTTGTTGATTATTGAATATTTGTTGTTTATTATTGAATATTATTTTGTATATAAATAAGCAAATTCAAATATGTTTTTTTTTAATATTAATGTATTGTAAACATTAGACATTGTCTATTATTTTCGTATAATTTAAATATTTTCTCCAAACCATAAAATTTACAAACTTTCTTTCTTCTGTAAATTTCTAAGAAATTATTCCTAAACAAAAATATATGTATGTTGTTTGCACATACCTACAAAATATATTATAGTTCATTTGTATTTTTGGAGTTTATATTTCTATACAAGTTAGGTTTTTTGTTTTGTTTTCATAAACATTTTCATATTAGTAATGATAAAAATGTTGTATTTTTTCAACACAACAAATACCAAAAGCAACATTCAACAGTCATATTGTTCAAGTACAACTAATATTGTTGTTGTTTTATATTTTAAATAATAACTTTTGAATGAAAAACTTTGACTGTATTCTCTACCAATTTCCCTCAATGTATGTGTGTGTGTACAAATATGCCATTAAACTATGAATGAAAACAAATGGTTGCACATAAACAATACACACACACATACACATTGAAATTAAACTCAGTTCCTTGTTCCACTAATTCATATTTCTTTTGTTAAAAACAAATTGTGTGTGTGTGTTTGTATGTGTGTGTGTGAGTGCATTCATGCGTATGCTTACACACGATTTTTTGTCTGTAGTTGTTATTGTAGGAAGAACACTAAATTGTAAGTTAGTTTTAGGTTGCAAAAATTTTCAAATTATTGTTTATTTTTGTAAAGTGTTGTTGTTTTATGGTCTTTCTCCTGGTTTTGTTAAAGAGAATATTTCCTAGGAATATTTATATTGCGTAGCAATTTTGTAAATAGAGGAAAAATGTTCAGTTCAATTAAGTCATTATTCAATGAAAATATCTACTACACAATATAAGTGAAGGGAGTTGTTGATGATTTACTGATATTTAAAGTTATCTGAGGCATGTTAGCAGTCGTAACATCGCCCAGGAACTAAAAATCGACCATAAAACTGTTATAAACCATTTACACAAAGCTGGATTTAAAAAAGAAGCTCGATGTTTGGCTGCCACACCAATTAACAGAAAAAATCGAATGGATCGAAGCCTTCGCCAAACGGAATGAGATAGACCCATTTCATAAACGGATGGTGACTGGAGATGAGAAATGGATTACATACGATAACCCTGTGCGAAAACGATCGTGGTCAAAGAGCGGTGAAGCACCTTAAACGGTGGCCAAACCAGGACTAACGACCAGGAAGGATCTGGAAGGGGATTACTTATTATGAATTGCTTCCATATGGCCAAACGCTAAATTCTGGTCTCTACCAGGGATGGTCTGTGTGACGAATTTTTAGGTTTTCGACTGTCAAAAAGGTGTAAACGTCGAAAACGTCATATACCTGTATAAAATGTAATAAACGTCATTTATATCAATATTATCAGCATATACAGTTATTTTCATGAATATATATTATTTTTACATATATCTGACTATTCCTTACTAGAACTGATAAAAATTTCTAAATTTTTTTGAGAAGAAAATTTTGAAAATTTGTATGGATTTGAGTAAAGCTTGCGTAATTCCCAAATTGATTAATGGAAATAGCTATTTTGTCAAAAACCTAATGGATTTCGGTAGGTTTCCGACGTTTCTGACGTATGTATTATACGTCGGAAATGTATGTCATTTACGTCACTGTTTCTGACAGGCCATCTCTGGTCTCTACTGTCAACAACTGGCCCGTTTGAAGATAGCAATTGACCAGAAACGGCCAGAATTGGCCAACAGGAGAGGTGTCGTATTCCACCAGGACAAAGCTAGGGCACACCCATCTACAGTGACTCGCCAGAAACTTCGGGAGCTTTGTTGGGAAGTTTTAATGCATCCGCCACACAGTCCGGTCTTGGCACCAAACGATTATCATATTTTTCTTGTATTGCAAAAATTTTTTGATGATAAAAAAATTTGTATCTAGGGAGGATTATGAAAATCGAGAGAGAGAAATGAGAGAGGCATTATAAAGTTACCTTTTAAATATAAAAACGAGGCATATGTGGCCCAAATCGGACATTCCGGAGCATGTTAAATAAAGTTCTATAGTGCATATGAAAATAATGGATTTATTTTGCCCCAACCTAGTATTATAGATCGATCGATGCAATGTTTTGTAAGAATTATGTGGAAAACTTGTCAGAAGACTTCAAAATACTTAGGTTCCATTATATTGAGCCTATATGAAAACGTCGACCGACTTAAGATACATTTCGATAGGAAGATTTGGCACACTAACTAGAATATCAAGTTAATATTAATTCGATTGAAAAACTTGCCAAAATATCGAACAACGTGCCAACATATGGGAGCTACCCCAAAACTTGGGCAAGTATTGAATATTTGGTTATGGTAGCGGGTCTACATGCCCAGAAATTATGAAGAAAGTTATTTTACTTCTGAAAAGAATCGGAAAGCCAATCTGCCTTTCGCAAAAGCTCATAGTTATTTTAATCCGACTCAGTGGAGAAATATTATGCTCTCGGATAAATTAAAGTTAAATATTAAAAACTCAAACATGAAAAAAATTACCACAGTATTGCAAGGGTAAGCATGGATGAGGGTCAATAATGGTAATGGGCTGTTTTTTATGGAGTTCGATATATTTACGAGATTTATAAAGTAATGGATCGGATTGTTTATAGAAAAGTGTTGGAACACAATCATCAGGAAAATATAAAAACTTTGGAGTATCGTAGGCAGCAAAAACAAACGAGATTCGCAGATATAACATCTTGCCAAAGGTTCAGGATGCAAGGAATAGTATACCCAAGAATCAAATAGACAATTTTATTGATTCAATGCCTCGTAAGTGTGCCACCGTAATGGAAAATAATGGTTATGCTGTCGATTACTAGTAAAATTTGCTTATTTATAAGAAATAATCAAAAAGTTGCTTTAGTTTTGATCATGCAATTGATCAATTTAGCTTTCTATAGAATATTGTTTTATTTCAAAATTAATTAAACGTTGTTTTTTTGTTAATAAAATATTTCTTTAAAGGACTTTATGTATTATCCATTAATGGATTTCTATGTATTACCCATCCAATTGTCTTCAATTCATAGCACTTATTACCGATCAAATACATGTATATAATTAAATATTTAAACTAAATATAAATTATCCCATTATTTCTCGTTACAGTACAAAAGGAAGGCGGGACACAGCTCAAATTAATGATTGAATATCCAAATAATATTAAAGCATTAATGAAACCAATGAGGTAAGTGAAAAGAATTTATATTTTTTATATATTATATAATTTTAATTTATTTAAAAGTGCTTAAAAGAAAAAGCTACCTCAAATTAAAACAAGTGAAAAAGCGTTAAGTTCGAACGGGCCGAACTTTGGATACCCCCCACCTAGAATACTGATACTAGAAATGAAGATATAGGGAACATACCAAAAAGTGGACCTATACCGACATTTCTAAAAAGGGATTATGTAAATTTTTAATAGATAATTATACCCTCAGCCTTATGGCTAATGAGGGTGTATACAATTTAACACGGTGAAAATGTGCCTCATCGAAATAATGGGTCTCATGCATAAAACGTGAGCTTGAGCTCGGACTCGATTTTTTGAGTAAAAGGTGCTTGTCATATGCATAATAAAATTTGATCTATTTGCCTTTACTCACTGCGCACGTTTGATCTCTTCTTGTTCAGTTTGAACTTAGAAATTGATGTTGGATGAGATTGTTCTCATTTTCATATGCATAAAAACAAGCTTTTGCTTACTTTTGTGAGCTCTTGCTTAACTTTTGTTGAGCATGCCTCTTCGTTGACTCGCGTACACTAAAAGGAATAATTGTCAGTGATTGTGAACATAATTTATCACAGAAAATTATTTTGGAAAAATAGTCCATGTATATTTTGTGTTGAAGCTTGACAATAACCCCCAAACATAAACCAAAACATATCAACGATTGGTTGCGGGAGTCTAAAATCCGGATTTTATGATGGCCAACACAATCATCAGATCTTCACCCTATAGAAAAATCTTTGGATCATCATCGATAGCAAAATTCAAAGGGATTCACAAACCAAAAAAAAACCTCTTCCCAAAGGTTCAGGATGTGAGGAATAGTGCATCAAAATAACGGTTTTGCTGTCGATTACTAGCTAAATTTGCTTATTTATAAATAAAATCAAAATTTGGTCAATGTAGTTTTCCATAGAATTTATTTTTATTTCGAAATAAATGTCACGTTTATATTCATAAAAAAACTTTCTCTATAACTTTATTTTCAAAAAAAAGTTACGGGTCATTAATTCAGTTTGCAATTTCAGTTGCTTTAGTTTTGGCCACCAGTGTATATATTTTATGGGGTCTCAGGTGAATATTTCGAGATGTTATAAACTGATTGAAAAATTGAGGAATATTAGCCAAGTATTTGCAAATATTCGGGTTTCAACAGACGGGTATGGATATAATTAATTTTGATCAGGAAAATACATATACTTTAGGAGGTCTTCGACAAATATTTCGATGTGTGGCGTATATGCACTCCGCCTTATGGTGCGGATTATAATAATATAAACCCTAATAATAATAATATAATCCGTTGTTTCTATTCCAAATGTTTGCTTCATTTCTTTGACACTTGGTAGCTGACTTTTTCCAAGTAAATATTTATTTTCATTAATTTTTGTTGTAGTATTTACTACTAGTTCTAATTCACTTCCACTTGACGACAATTAGAAGTTTGATCTCAATTTGCTCAAGTATTTGCAATTGGTTTGAACTCATTTTTATGCATACGAAATTGAGCAAAAGCAGTTGCTGTTCGATCTAACTCAACTTACGAGCAATTGCTTACTTGACTCAACTCATCGCTTTTGCTCGTTTTTATGCATGAGACCCAATGTTAATAATTTTTGGTAGGGAACTTTTTTTTAACATATACGACTACAAAATACCAAATTGCAGCAAATTCGGTTAAAAACGCGCTCAAGAACCCCAAAATACTAAAAATTTGGGGTACCCTTATATGGGGGCTATCCGGAAAATGGACCTAAATTCATAATTTTTTGTGGGGAGATTTGGTGCCTATTAAGAACTCAAAATACTAAATTACTTAATCGTCTTAGAATTTTACCCTGATCATAAATACGATCAAAACCACCAAAATACTGAAAATTAGGAGGTACCGTTATATGGGAATTACCAGAAACAGTGGACCTATAATAAGGGGGTCAACATTTTTTAATTTAATTCGAATCTACACTAATTCAAGAATGTCCCTACAAAATCTCAAGAACTCTTGAAGATATAGCCGATTTATTGCGTCAGCATCAAGTGACGGCTAAAGGGCTTTTCAAACTTTAAACGCGTTTTTTCTTTTGTGAATGGCAGGCACGATAACTCAAAAACCAATAACCCAATCGATTCCAAATTTTTACACGTTTCTCTGTGAGTGTATAGCTATCGTATGAACTAGGATAAAGCCAATCGGTGAAGATCTTCCTTATTTTTTTAACTTGGTTTTTGGTCAAAAATCGGCGATTTTCAAAAAATATTTTTTCAAAGGTCCGCCATTTTGTTAAGAGCGAAGTCAATAATCCTAGTTCATACGAGAGCCAGACATGTACTCTTTCTAACGCTGTTGGAATTTTCGGATTCCGATGTTCCAGTGAGGAGTTATCATGCCCGCCATCAAAAATAAGGACTTTTCTTTAATTACAAAAAACAATAACAAAATTTTTTTGTAAATTATTTTTCTTCTCTTTTAAATCTTCAAATATATATGTGCAAAGTTACAAACCTTAACAAGCGTTGGTATTGATTTACCAGCCCATTGAAAATCTTAAAAAATCAAAATCGAGAATGGGTGGGGTTCCCTTAAAAAAAAATGCTACCAGATACTATGCACCATTTTCAGTATTTCAAACTTCAAATAAAAAATTGGAAATTTTAAAATATAGAATCCAAATTCATAATGGCATGTTGATAAATTCCAAACACCTTATTTTTATTCCAATTTTTCAAATTATAAATAAATTTAATTTCTATGGAAAAATAGCATATAAAATATGAATAGCTTCTAAATTTGGAATAGTTTTTAATTATAAAGATATAATTTTCAATAATTTTACACATGTCAGCCGAATTGGGCAATCTTGTTCACTTTTTCGATTCGCTGTGCAAAAGTGACTAAGCCGTACATTGGTACATTGGTACACGGCAATTCGTGAACAAAATGAACTATATGAGCAATAGTGTCGAAGCCAGCAGCGAATTTTACTTTTGCCAAATACTTCCTTAGGCCAAGTCCATTCTGGAGTGACTGACTCTATCTGTCAGTAAAAATGTTTTTAAAAGCAAATCTTATATTCGGAGAATATATAGATTTTTAAATAATTTTAATTGACTTATATACATGATTCTAATCCCAAGAATAGTTCATTAGTAAGAAACCTTCAATTTCGTGAATATGGATCTACTTTTATATAGTAACTATTCACGTAACTTTTATATTTTTGTGTAAATTTTAATGTTAACTTTAATTGTTTATTTATTGCAATTAATTCATTTGAATATCTATCTACTTTATTTCCACGAATTACTCAATAAACAAATGTTTAAGTTTATTCATATTGTCATTTACCGCCAAATACTGATGTTCTCTGTGTGTGTGTGTTTTTTTTACGAAAAATACCTTATTTGTATTTAAATTTTCCTCCATTTTTTGTTGAAATACAATTCGGCTGAATTTTGAAATTAATCATTAAATATATTCTTCTTAAGGTAATTATAAGTCTTCCGTTAATATAATTTAAATGTAATGCTCTGCTACCTATCGCGCTGGTAACGTTAAACGTGGCATTCATTTGCATTGTAAATTCATTGCAGCACTTTTAATTACATTGCAATTTTAATTTTATGGATGGTCAATATTTTTTCCTGCTAGAGAGCAACAAGCCTGTATATGGGGGGAAAATACATATAAATTTTAAGCCATTCTGGGCAATCAATGATCTCGAGTGACAAATATGAACATAAATGGTAAATGAAAGGTACAGTGAAGGGAATTTTAATAAGTTCGAGCTCAGAACAAAATAAGAGTCGATTTTTAAAATTTATATTCTAAAGGAATGTGTATTTCCTAAAGCAGTCATAAGCGTGGATTTATTTAAAGGGTTTATATATTAAAATATTTTTTAGAGAACTATCAGTGCCTTAAGCGTGGATTTTTATAATGAAATATTTCTTTAAAGGACTATCAGCGCCTTAAGGGAACCCATCCATTCTCGATTTTAATTTTTCAAGATTTTCAATGGGCTGGTAAATCAATACCAATGCTTGTTAAGGTTTGTAGCTTTGCACATATATATTTGAAGATTTAAAAAGGAAGAAAAATAATTTACAAAAAATTTTTGTTGTTGTCTTGTTGTTGTTTTTTGTGATTAAAGAAAAGTCCTTATTTTTGATGGCGGGCATGATAACTCCTTACTGGAACATCGGAATCCGAAAATTCCAACGGTGTTAGAAAGAGTACATGTCTGGCTCTCGTATGAACTAGGATTATTCGCTCTAAAATTAACAAAACGGCGGACCTTTGAAAAAATATTTTTGGAAAATCGTCGATTTTTGACCAAAAACCAAGTTAAAAAATAAGGAAGATCTTCACCGATTGGATTTATCCTAGTTCATACGATAGCTATACACTCACAGAGAAACGTGTAAAAATTTGGAATCGATTGGGTTAGTAGTTTTTGAGTTATCGTGCCCGCCATTCGCAAAAGAGAAAAACGCGTTCAAAGTTTGAGAAGGCCTTTAGCCGTCACTTGATGCTGACACATCAAGAGTTCTTGAGATTTTCACTTGAAATTTTGTAGGGACATTCTTGAATTAGTGTAGAATCGAATTAAATAAAAAAAAATTGAACCCGAGAATGGGGCCCTTAAGCGTGGATTTTTAAAATTTTTCGTTAAAGGGCTGTTTAGGCCTCAAGTGTGAATTTTTAAAATATTTTTCAAAGAACTTTTTAGGCCTCAAGTGTGGATTTTTAAAATATTTTTAAAGGACTCTATAGGCCTTAAGCGTGATTTTAGATATATATATTTTTTTTTAAAGTACTGTTTGGTCGTTAATCGTGAATTTTTAAAATATTTTTAAGGACTATTTAGTCGTTAATCGTGAATTTTTAAAATAGTTTTAAAGGACTGTTTAAGCTTTAAGTGGGGATTTCGAAAAAATAATTTTTAAGGACTGTTTAG